TCATTGGACACGCGGGTGGTCATTTTTGCCAGTGAATGAATGTGCCAAGTGACGCCCCTTTCATGTCGTCGGGTCGTTGGTCTTTTCTTTGTCGTTGGCAAACTTGTGGCCGCGAGCGAATACAAGCTTTGTCGAACAAAGATCGCCGATGCCGAAGTTACGACAAACCGGTAATGCGAATATATATACTGCAAGGAGATCCCGGCAAGAATTCCAGGGAGCTGTCAGCTTGAAGACAACACAGAAGCATCAACTGCATTTACAATCAACATGATCACTACCTGCACACCACAGGGTAGGCGGTTGGAAGATGCCCTCAAGAGCGTCGACCGCGCACTCGTCTCCGCCATCGATTCTGCCGACCAGTGCAATGGAGAGTCCGTCTATCATCTTCTAAAGGCGCTGAAATCAGTGATTGAGAGGGCTGCGTGGCTCGAGCTTCTACTCACCTCCCGTCCCGAAACCGAGGACAAAAAGCTCAAAGGGGCCGTCGAGCAAGCTGCCGGAGCCAACATGGTGTCGACCCGACTGGACACCGTGGGAGACTACCTCATCGTCGAAAAGAGGGTCGATGCAGCGCCCACCCTCCCGCAAGATGATGTCAAAGCAGCCATCATTGAATCGATTCCCTGCTCGGCTGACGCAAGCGCTGCTTGGATGAAGATCGCTGTTGAATTACTTGAGGTCTGTCCCGTCCGAAGAAACCTCAAAAACCTTGTTCGTCGTGCTGATTCAACTGGTGGTTGGCAGTCCCGGCAGTTGCAAGAGCTCTACAAGAATCTTTTCGTCCGCTGCGTCTCAGGCGCTGAGGAGAACCGCAAGTTGGCAATAGCAGCATTACAGATTCTCGCTGTTGCCAAGAGGCCCCTGAGCATCCTTGAACTCGGTTGGGCAGTAGCCTTGAGTACGGCGGACAAAGCTGTTGGCACCGTGGAAGCCCTGTCCCGATTGGTAGATCATCATAGGGTTATGGCGTTGATCCAGCCCTTCATCGAACGTGTTGACCTCAAGCATCTGGGAGAGCATCAAGTTCAACTGATGCACCCCTCAGCGAGGGAGTTTGTCATGACATATCTGACACCGACGCGATGCAAGCACTCGGATTCCGCCGTTTCAATGCTGCCAGCGTTGCATCAAACGTCCAACGTCCAACAACAACTCATCGAGGACCTCGAGGCTCAGGTTTTGGCAATCTGCGTCCGCTACCTTCTGCTCAACGAAGTCGACGCCACTCCCCTCTTCCCTCAAGACCGCTTGGCGCTCGAAGAGCTCCCCCAAACAGTCGATGTCTTCACAGACAGTCTCGCGCCCAGCAACTGTGATCGGCACTCCTCCTGGCAAGCCTGGGAGGAAGACGACATCCACTATGACCCTTCCGAGCGCGGCTTCGGCGAATTCTTCGTCTACGCCTCCTGCCACTGGGTTGACCACTTCGGGGCTATCTCGACCATCTCCCTCTTGCCGAAGCTAGATGACGTGGAGTTGCTTTGTCGAGCCGGTTCGATGCGGCTGCAGAACTGGATCGCGCAGAACCGTCGGCCGGGCTGTGCCATGAAGCCGAGGTTTGTCTTTGACAGCACGCTGTATGACCCGCTGAGCATCACGTCTCTGTATGGCTCGGAGGCGATGATGCGGCACATGCTGGAGCGTTCGGATCTTGCCGGTGACGCCTTTCTCGCCGAGACTGTAACGAAGGCGGCGAATCAGATTCTGCGGTGGGGGGAGCTCTCTCGAGTGAGGATCCTGTGGGAGGGCGAGTTTGGATGTGAACTTCGGAACGAGGACTTCTTCAAGCTCGCTCTGAAGCAGTGGTCGATGCGCAGCTTCGACAAGTACCGAAAGGGTTGGAATGTGGTGTTTGGTTTGCTGGACGAAGTTCACGACGAGATGGTTGAAGAGCGGTGGGGTAGCAGGATCATGGACATGGCTGCGAGGGTGGGATGCGTGCCGGTGCTCCAGCAGCTGCTGGACGCAGCCCAGCACAACGAGAAACTCAAGGCGGAGCTCCTCGATTTGTCCCAGTCCGAAAACGGGTTGGTCGGCGCGGCGATTCTCGGTAACCACGTCGAAGTTGTGGAATACTTGCTGCGTCAGGATGACATCGGACCACACCTCCGTCACCGCAACAAACGCGGGGAGAATATGTTGCACTTGGCGTCCGGGTTCTGCAACCCGGCTGTGTTTCGACTGCTGTCTGTGGGCGGCGAGGCCTTCGAGAAGGACAAATTGGGGTTCACGGTCTTGGTCCGCTTGATTTTGAGCGCAGCCGAGACACGGGATCGATTGAAGTCGGCGAGAATGTTGATGTCAGGGGCCGCCACAACGATAACACAGTTTCCTTTTGGCGAGGAGCTCCGGGAGGCTGTGTGCGTCGCCGCCGAGCTTGGGGACTTGCACATGTGCCGGCTGCTAACTTTAGATGTTGCATGTGTCGCTTGATTTCACATATTGTGGAAGAATGGATTGGGAAACTTTGTTCTGGGTGGATCGGGGTACATGGGTGATCGATTGGCAGGTGTCTTGTATTTTCGCCGAGTCATCCGATGAGTTGAGAAATTTGCAAACAAGCAGCGCTTTGTCTTATCCCTGCCGCAGTCTTCCCGAATTGGAAGGCCCTGCCGTTGTCGCGTGTGCCTGAGAATTGAGGTGTCACCAAGATCCTGTCTTTGTTTGGGTTGGCCATGCCCGGGTTGCTGCTGCGAAGCCTGAGAATCGAGGCGCCCAAAAAAGCCCCCTGTCTTTGATTGGCCGCCTGAGAGCCCAACACTTGACGCAAGGGATAGCCAAAACCCCCGCAAGCAATCGTGGATTACGTTGGCTTCTGTCTATTTCCCACATCAACAACTGCCCCAAATGCGCGGTCCACCGAAATCCAGCCTCTGCTACTGCTGCTGCTGCTACTGACGGGATGGCTCGGGTGCGGAGGTGAGTGTGCCAAAAGGACTGTCCGGTGACGGGATGTGGAGCGCTGTAGCTAACGTCTCAACGCTAGGAAGGCGCTACGGGAGCATCGACCCTGCACTCGACTGGTCCGAATGGAGCCTTTAAACGACCACAGTGGACTCCTGAGTCTGCCCCGCGAACTCCGCGACAACATCTACCTCAACGTGCTCGATGTCAAACACCCACTGTACCTGTTCAAGGAAGACAACTCTGACGACGTCGAGGTGTTTGCGCCCAGGACACCAGCTCGATGGCTTGCCTTGCTCCACACCAACCGGAAGATCCACGCCGAAGCCTGCGAGACGCTGTACGGGCGACACAAGTTTGTATTTGTTGACACTGCAAAGAGCCAGGGGGATCTCTTGGGTGTTTTCCTGCACAAGATTGGAGCCGTGAACGCCGGCTACCTGACTCATGTCTGCATCAACTTTCCGGCCATGATTGTCGATCGCCAGGACCAAAATGCTGCTCGGAAGCCCGATTTACTCGAGCTCGAACTGTTGCAAGAGAGGTGTGGCAGCTTGAGGACACTAGAGGCCTTTGTCTACGGTCAGAACTCCAAGGGTTTGGTCGCGGGGAGATACAGCCCGACCCTGGGCTCCTTGTCTACTCCAGAGGCGTTGTTGCAAGTTGATGCCAAGTTCAAGGCTATTCCTTCTCTTCCCGCCGTTCTCATTAAACCGTCCAATGGCCCTTTGGCCCCTGAAGTAGTGGAGCTGATGCAAGGGTTTGGCTGGGTCATTTCAGTGGGAAGATGACGGATTGATAGGACTTCAAGTTAGCCCGTCAATAAAAACCGTGTCCTGCCTTGACCTAAGCGTACCTCATGTTAGAAAGAACTTTGACCGGATTCACTCTCCCACCCCTTTGGATTCTCACCTCCAATCCTCATTTGTAGTGCCAAGTGCTCCTAAAACGGCGAAACATGGCGAAGCGCGCACCCACCGGGACAATTGGGGAGCTGGAACAAGCCCTGGAACTCCAACATCATATGGCCGAGGCGGTTGGGAGGGGGAACAACTTCCCGGCCGGATCTTCTCCGATCTGTATCCCGTCTCCGTCCTCACGGGGATCGAGCGAGCAGAAAGGGAATATACAGAGTTTACGAGGAAGAAAAAAAAGCGATGCATAAAGAAAAGGGCGGTTCATGCTACTGCCGTAGCCCTACCGCGAGGTCAGAGTGAGGTGTGTTTTTGTTACGACCGGTACCTATACAGAGATAGGTAGGGACGCAGAGGGTTGGGGTTAGGTCAGGAGTCCCGGGTATGTTCGGGGTCACAGACCAAAGGGTAAGTACAAGGAGGGGCAAACACGGAAGCAAGTCCTCACAGACGGGGAGTTCACTGAGTCAAATCGGTCGCATGCAACTATAATACACTGTAGCACATAGAGTGACAATGTAGTAGTGCACAATTGAAGTTGGTTCAATTGACAAAGCGAATACTTGCGTGAGGAACCAGAAGGATTCCTCGCTCCACAAGTACGACGATAGCTATCTATACTGCTGAGAAGTGAAGGTAACTTGTACCGTGATCACCTTGATCACTGTCTTTAGTGCTGAGCAGAGTGATCAAGTCTAGGCGTGCTCACTGTGATCACTGCCTTTAGCGTTGAACAGAGTGATCACACAGTGCCTACATAGTACAAATACTGTTATTCCTACGGTGGCGTTCTGCGGGGACACGTTGGTCCGGTTCGGCCGCAATGGCGGCCTGCAGGTCGTCACACAGCAGTGCTGAAGGAAGCAACCAAAGGCCTGCTGTCAGAAACACTGCACTTTGGATTTTGGATATAAAGAAGGTTGCAATAGGTTGATTGTATTGCGTGTGTCCAGCTTGCTTCTGGTGCACTCTGGCAGAGCCAGAGTGCTCCATTTTATACTATGTGAAAGGCGGCAACGTTTGCGCGTTACGTGGCCAATATTATAAATCCGGAGATTTTGGTTCTTTCCAGAACCTTCCGGCCAGACCCCTTTCTTTCGGACACACCCCCTCAGAGCCAACAGGCTTGGATCTGGACCATACTATTCTATCTTACAGTCTCTTATTCCAATAACAGCTCTTGTAGCACAATAGTAGTGTATTCTACTCTTTGTGGAAGGTTGAGGGTTCGATTTCTTCCAGGGGCACTTCTCCGCATCCTGGTTTATGGGATAACCTTGGAATCAGGACGTGGATGACCTTTTTGGCTCTGTTACCCCTGTTTGCTGGAGGAACCGTTGGTGGAGTGGATAATTCAGGGCTTTGGTTAAGCCATCAGCCGTCATATCGTTTGAGGGCGTGTATTCGATTTTTATCGTTTTACTGCTAACCTCTTGTCGAAGCAAATGGTTGTGAATATCCACATGCCGGAGTTTGGTCTGCAGGGTGGCCATTTCAGCCGTAACAAGGCGAATGGTTTGTTTGTTGTCACACTGGATAGTGATGTGGTGGTCGTCCAGTTTGATGGTTAATTCATTCAGTAGTCGGCTTATAAAAAGGCTCTCTTTCGTGGCTTGTGCCAGGGCGAGGAGCTCGGCTTCGGTAGTGGAAGTGGTGACAGTGTCTTGTTTATTGGCTCGCCAGCCAACCAGGCCACCAAACAACTTCATAGTGTAGGCCTGTGAGCTTTTTCGATCGACAGAATTATCTGCAAAAGAGGCATCGCTGGCCACAACAAAACCGTCTTCACCCCCTAACCTCAGGGCCAGGTTTTGGGTGTTATATAGGTAATGAAGCACTTGATCGGCCGCTTTATGGTGCTCGGGCCCAGGATTTGTGTTGAATCGAACAAGCCGTGATGCTGCAAAGGCTACATCTGGCCTTGATACTGCGGCGTATAAAATCGAGCCAGTCTTTTGCTGGAAAGCCGTAACTGACTGAGTCTCTGCCCTACCCTTGAATGGTAGTAGTTCTGCAGTAGCCACTGGAACCTTTGCCTTTGTAGTGGACTGCGTGGTGGCCAGTGTAATAATCTTGTTGAAGTAGGCTGTTTGAGAAAGCCAAATTAGGCCTTTGGCTCGATTTCGTAAAACCTCAATGCCCAGAAACCACTGCAGGTTATTTCCACCTGTTAGTTGGTATTTTTGCTGTAGTTACGATTCCAGGGCCTGGGCTGTGGCTGTATCTTCCTTTCGGTAACAAAACACAATATCGTCCACGTAGAAAAACACCAAAATCCCATTCCGAATTAGAATACAGGTGTCACAGGCTTTGCCTGTTCCTAGAGCAGAGTAGTCACGTGCCACGGCACGTGATATTACGTGTGAGCTGTGCGTTGCTGGCGCGCTCCACCCCGCAGCGTGGGGTCCTTAGCTCCCCGCGGTCCGCCCTCATCGAGGGTTGGGCCATCGCAATACAACAACGGTTACCTAGTACTTGCTCGAGCCGTGATATCGTCACTGATTCCGGCCTGCAATTTCAGGGCCTTATACCAGTGTGAAATTGGTTGTGTTGGATCGCAGGAGGTAAGTTGAAGGTGTGGAGTAATGGTCTTCAGAATCCACTGCTTTAGTCGATCAATCCTTTCGTTTTGCTGAATGTATTTCTTTTCATTAGCTTGGTAAATCGTCCAATCCATCTGAAAGGTTCGAAATCCTTCAGTCGTCAGATCCGCTGTGGAAATCCGTGTGGTAATCGATTGGCTGGCTTGGCCAGGCTCGTCGTCGCCGACCACGGATTCCGTACTACCCCTGGCCGTGATCGTTGACTGGCTTGGGGTTTTATGCTTATGCTGTGCAGGGTTCGGAGTCGTAGGTTCATCGAGAAAAGGGGTCACCCCCTGAATCTGGCTCCACAAGCCTCCGGCCACGGCCTGGGCCTGGAACTGCAGATTCCACGACTCCCAGTCTTCAGAGCTGGCCAGAAAAACGGTGTTTTCGTTGGTGTTGGCCATTGTTGGAATTGAATTGTTGTTTTTCTGTTGAATAGAAGAGGGTTTATTTGGTATAAAATCCAAAAGTGCAAGTTGGATGTGTTTCTTGTTGTTGGTTGTTGGTTGTTGGGATTCGCTGACTAATCGGCTCGCAGGGGCTACGATTTGAACGAATGCGACCGAGCGGATGAGATTCTTAATTGTCAGAAACACTACACTTTGGATTTTGGATATAAAGGAGGTTGCAATAGGTTGATTGTATTGCGTGTGTCAAGCTTTCTTGTTCTCCGATTCTGGCTTTCAGTCAGAACCTCCTTCTTTATAGACCACTCCGTAGGATTTAGCTTCGTCGACACAGTGGCTAGGCTGACTGGCGTTCAGGCAGTGCCAGGTATCCAGTTAGCTTCGCTGACTGGAAGCCCAGAGCCCCTGACCCCCTTTCTTTCTGACACATAGCACAGCGTCGCTGCGTGCTCCTTTTCCTCAAGTGTCTGGTACCTTTTACGGTGGGGCGGCTAGAGGTCTGCTTTTCTTTTTCTCGCGCCGATTGCAAGGGGCTGGCTAGGTGCATGTGTTTTGGCCTGCCTTCCGTAAAAAAAAAAAAGGAGGTCGCCGAAAAGGACGGGATTTCAGCGAATAGAGACTTGGAGTTGGATCCCTCGTAAAGGTGGCAACACCAAGTCGGACACCCGTAGGTGAGTGGGCGGTTCTCGGTGTGGTTTCCAGGTCGCGAACAGAAAGTGGGTCGCAAGCTGTCGGCCGGCACGTGATCACCTTCCATGCCCCACCGCCATGCGGGCTAAATTTTCGGCGTCGAGGAAGCTACGGTAGGCTGCTCACTACCCATCCTCGCCACCATGGCCAATGCAACAAAGCAGTATTGGGAGGGCGTTAATGCCGACATTGACGGCATGTTGGGCGGCATTCCTTCCATGATCGGCTTCTCTCACGTGTCTAAAGTGGATCTCCAAGGTTCCCGCAGTTTTCTTGCGAAGCTGGGGATTGGGAAGAAGAATGGTCGGCAGACGGTTGCACACGCGCTTGAGGGCGGAGCGGGGTACGTGGTTTTGATCCTCAACAGATGGGATATGATGCTACACGGTTGAGGTGCTTACGCTGAGATTGTGAGACAGCATTGGGCGGATCACCAAAGGGCTACTTCTTGAAGTGGCGGATGCGGTCGATGTCATTGAGCCTGTTGCCAAGTTTGTCGCCCCTCTGCAAGACGTGACAGGGGTGCGGAACGTCTTCAACGTCGGCCTGGAAGACTGGAGACCGACCGAAGGAACACTCTACGACTTGATCTGGGTGCAATGGTGTGTGGGCTATCTCGCCGACGAGCAATTGGTGGCCTTTCTGAAGCGGTGCCGGGCAGCGCTGAACCCCAACGGTGGGGTCATGGTCGTCAAGGAGAACTTGAGTACCAGTGGCTCCGATGCTCTTGACGCAGTCGATGGGAGCGTCACGCGAGTGGATTCAAGCTTTCTGCGCATTTTTGATGAGGCGGGTTGGCGCATCGTTCGAACTGAGACGCAGAAGGGGTTTGTCAGTCGACTTCCGAAGAAGCTGCTCCCCGTCCGGTCCTACGCGTTGAAGCCCAAAGATGCAGTGGCCCCCAGTTCGCCGTAATCGATAAGATAAAATGGAAGCCGGAACGCGATTTTGTTGTTCCATCCTGCACGTTACCCCGCACTCTCACATTGGCATGGCATTGCTGCATGGCTTTTGCGGTGGCGCCTTTGTGGGCTATCGTTCGGCACAACTGACTTCCGACTTGTGCCTCCACCCTAGCGAGCGTCTGTTTATGGAGGGACGAGAGAGGCTTCTCGACTGGGCGAAGGGGGAGGGCGCTTCGCTGCATGGAGCTCACCCCACCGAAATCCCCTGCCGGGGTACGGGAATGGCCACTGGCCGCCGCCTCAAGGTACGTGCGGTAACGACCGGAGGAAAAGAACAAGTTTAGGCTCCGGGGCGAACGATCTGACTTTGGCCCGCAGAAGGGAGAGAATATCCTTTATGTGCCTATCGGGCTAGTTCGAAGCCTGCACACCGTCCCCGAGGATGTGTCTCGTAATCTGCCTTCCGACACATCAATTCACGCGCTCTTGGCCGCGGACCTGACGCTCAACGGCATGCCAGAACTGGCATTGTGGAGAGACTGCTTGCCCACGCTGGATGACTTCGGCGCTGCCATGCCATTCATGTGGCATAAAAGGCTCCAGGAGCTCCTCCCAACGCCTGCCGGGCAGCTTCTGGAGAACCAGCTAGGCAACTTCCACCGAGACTGGGCTCGCGTCAGCCGGGCTTTTCCGAATCTACAACGGGACGACTACCTCCACAACTGGCTTATAGTCAACACGAGGAGTTTTTACTACTGCACACCTCGGATGGAATCGTACCCCCCGATTGACAGGCTCGCCTTGGTCCCCATCGCAGACCTGTTCAACCACGCTGACACAGGCTGTGGGGTCAGCTTCACGCCGGACGGCTTCGTTATCTCAACAGATCGCAAATATCAACTCGGTCAAGAAATTTACATTTCCTACGGCTCGCACACAAACGACTTTTTGTTGGTCGAGTACGGTTTCGTACCCATGGCGAACCGGTGGGACAAAACCTCCCTCGATGATGTCATCTTGCCACGGTTGAACTCAGCCCAGAAACAGCTGCTCAGGGATAGAGAACTCCTCGGTCCATTTCTGCTCGACGCCAAGACGCTTGGGTGCAAGAAGACGCAGGCTGCTATTCGGCTGCTGTGCCCCTGCAGTCGGCCACGCTGGAATAGGTTTCTAGACGAGGGAGGATGTGGAGAGCACTGCCGAGGGGCCATGAATGCATTGCTGAGATCACTGCTTGTCGAGTATTTGGTCCGAGTCAGAAAGACTGTGAAAGAAGTTGCAGGGTTGGAGGTCGGGCAAAACGCCCAACGTGAGCTTCTTGGGCAGAGATGGAAGCAGGTCGAGGCGACAGTTTCCCAAGCGGTGAGACGTTTATAATTCAGGGATCAAGGCGCCTGCGCCTTGCGCGATGCAACGCTCTCCAGAGACAAGCTGAACTCCAGTCGCTTGCCAGACCAATGCACTGCCCACTGCAGAACTAACTAATGTCCCTCAGCTCTTGCCCCTGCATGGCGGCGTTCTCGCGAATGAACCTCAAACCAGCAGCCTGTTCGGTGCTGCGAGGCGTTGCCAACACCCCCCCGATTCCAGCATCTGGGCCCTCGACTTGTGCTTCCACTCCGCTCCCAGTCTGTAGTCCGGGCATCTGGTACTGAAT